ACATCTTCAAGGCTTTTGATCAGGTCTGGCACAAAAGTCTTCTCAGCAAACTTCCATCATGTCACTGCATGTTGTGGTCGATGATGTGTCTTCTAATAAAATGTGACAAGAAACCCCACAGCTTTGCGGACGATAGTAGCTTGATGGCATCTTTCTCTACTGACAATCCGCTTATTGCAGTCACTTCCGCACGCGTCGCCCGAGAACAGATCCATTGTATTGACAGTGATCTTGATACCATTACTGACTGGGCCTTGAAAACCTTAGTCAAACTCAAGCAACAGTATTCACAAATGAGAAATCTTCCGCTGATGATAACCCGGTTTTAAAGATGTCCGGACAAAACCTTCCTATCAATCTCTTCTTGGGGTGACCGCTAAAACCGCTTCTCAAAAATTAGGTTTTCTGTTTCGTGCAAAAAGCTTCTTCACTTCTGAACAACTTCTTCTCCTTTATAAGGCTCAAATCAGACCACGTATGGAATCTTGTTTTCGTATTTGGAGCGATGCTCCCAAGCATTCGGTGGCTCTATTAGATGCAGTACAAATGTGAGTAATAAAAATGATCGATAATCCAACTCTCACCGATTCATTGCAATCTCTCGAACTTAGAAGCAAGGCGGTCGTCTTGTCGTTATTCTATCGCTATTACCATGGGAGATGTTCTGACGATCTGTCCAGCTTCATTCCAGATGAGAGAAGTTATTCAAGAATCTCATAGGCATCTCATCCGTATGGGATAACGTTGTCTACTCCGAAAACCTTTAAATGTAGGGCTTCTTTTCAATGGCGTACTGCCCACCTCTGGGTTGAAAATTCAGTATTTAGTATTTGATGCTATCTCACGTTAGAATCTATACTGGTTTGCTGGATTAACCAACTTGGAACACCCAACCTCATATGAGATGTTGATGGAAATAATCGTCCGCTCAAATCAGGTTTTCTCATTTTTATCATTTGTATTCACATCTCTCCTATTATTCGTCAAAAACGAGGCTAATCTTTGCTTTAGGGTTTCCAATTTCCAAAAAAAGCTCCTGGATACATTCTTGAAATAATTCCCTTTCTACTTCTCTTTGTCTGTTGCTGGTTGCCGTCGTTCTGCTTGTCCGATAGTTATGTCTGCTTTTTGATGATTTAATTCAAAATATTTGATGAAACTCATCGCCCAATTTAAGCTGAGTACTAACAGCTCCAGGTCGCCTTTAGGTAAAGTGTTACACCTTCTTCGCACATAAAAATTTAAATCGACTATTTTCCTGCAAAGGTACATAGATTATTCTCTATCGATATAAGAAAAATGTCGATATTGCAGCACATGAAACAAACGATGGAGGTGAAGGCTTTGGCACGGCGATTGATAAATATGTGTGGTGTGTGTGCGGAGGGGCTTTTTATGAGGCGGGTAAATGATGTGGATAGAATCATTTCCTTGGCACTTAAAGTTGGTTTTGTTCTGTAGTTATGTGTCGGAAATCGAAACCGCACGAGTTAATGATCCCGACAAGACAATATTAGAATAAATGACGGTTTCGACTCAGTTTCGTTGCATGGGTAAAAATGGTAAATTATAATGAATGGTAATGTTAATGGGCAATGAAAAAAACGAAGATTTGTGCGGCGATACATCTATAATGTTATTTTTCTATTAGGAGCACATTTAAATATCCCAGTAATTACAAGACACCTTATACTTCTTTATCAGCTTTATTAACGTGAAATCAAACTTACTTTTTGTCCTGCCTAGCAACGATATCATCAAAATTCAATGTTTTCAAAATCTCAAGGTTGGTTTTTGTTTTGTAAAACCTCAAAATGACAACTTTAGGGCGTTGTCTATACATTGTTTACGCTCTGTTGACATTGTTAACCTATTGTTGACATATTTTACATTGTTGATAATTTGTTTACCTGAAAATGTAGACAAATAATAGTTTACGTGTAAAGAAACAACACTGCTTTCAGTTGACCCTATCCAAAATATGGATATATTTTGAATTTTATATTTAATAAACAATGTAATACACTTTAAAGAGTGATTTTTTTACAAATAACAAATATAAATACTTGTGAAATTCCACTTCAACTGACCATTAGCGGCTATGCGTGCATAAACGATGCAATATGGTGACATTTCATTGTCTTAAAGTTATGCCTTGCAGTAAAACATGTATTTTATTGAAATTTTAACGGCACATTGTCACTAAACCGTACTAACTAAAGGGTACTTAAAAGCAGTTTGGGTGTTGTGCACTAAGTGCCTCTCGGCCAAAACAACTTACAATTTATTTGGGTTTTCTCTATAGATGTTCGACACGTTTTATTTGACGGTTATTGTTCATTGTCTTTAAATTGCAGAAATTAAATATTGACAAGTTGAGTAGGCAATAATAATTTTTAATATATGACTAGGTATCTATGGAAAAAATTGATTTTCTTTTTATTGATATACTATTTGTTGCAAATTAACTGGATGATTTTTGTTTGTTTATTTTGTAACCGATTTTGTGATAGATAGACAAACTTAATATCTACAAATGGAAAAAAAAATGACTTACCAACAACAACCAAGGCCCAAAAAAGCAGCCTAGCCTTTGACTACAGACCAAAAACTTGGAAAAACACTATGTTAACTAACGCTTATGCCAGAACCTGGAAGAATAGGACAGAATACTGTTGACTTTACAGCTTTTTCCATACACATACCAAGATTTATCACTAGTTTGGTAACCTGCAGCCTCGAGTAAAAACTTACTCAACCTCTACTTATTCCTTCTAACCTAAAAATACATCTCGTCAACCTAGCCTGACTTCGGTACATGAAGTCCGACATAGCGTTTTCGGAAAACCTATTCTATTCGGAACTGTTTACTCCAACAGTTACGACAAACTTTGTGAGATCTATCATCAGTCTGTGAGCATTAGAAACTGGGAAAACTTATAGGAGACACATACATGACACAGGGTGAAGTAAAGGCGGTACTCTACAGACTGAAGCAAGGCCAGGGTCCAATAATTATAAAACACCAAATACGGAACATGAAATGGAAGATAGAGGAAGGTCTAGAGTTCAGCTCCTTGTTCGAGGTGCCCTTAAATTAAACAACGGATATTTTCATCTTCACCAGGCACTTTCGGGTTGTCCTACCGGTTAGGGTAGACTGGAAGAAAGGTTCTCCAATTAGAGCAAACCACATCTGGTAGGTACACCGACAATAACTCATTCCAAGACGAACAAGGGGGTCGGAGCTGGTATCTACGGAGAGATTTCAACAAGTCTCGGGCAGCACGTCACAGTGTTACAGGCGGAAATCGCTGCAATAATGCACTTTGCCATATTGATGATTGAAAGGAAAGTTGAGAGTAAAAACATCGTTATTCACTCGGACAGCTTGGCGGCCCTAAAAAGGCAATCAGCTCCCGCGGAAGATCAGCTCCATGCTGGTTAAGGACTGTATACGTGCCCTAGAGGAGGTGAGCCTGTCCAATAAACTTACCATAGTCTGGCTATCAGGCCATGAGTGCCTGCAAGGAAATTAAAAGGCCGACGACTTAGCCAAAGGAGGCTCAGCCACTGACATGATAGTCCAAAACAATTCTGCGAAATCTCTGCAGGCCTTTTCGAATCATCGCTATAAAAAACTGGATGGGCAGAGAGTTCCAGAGCTGATGGAGCAAACACCAGATCCGCTTTTCAGTGACGAATTTTAAGGTGCTCCACACCCGTAGCTTCACACTCTGGTGGTCCAAACAACTGCTGTTTCACAACGCACCCTACCCTATTTTAAGCTTCGTGGTTCTGATGCTTTAATAAAATTGCAGGTGCATGTAATGTAGGCAAGTTAGATGTTAAACCTGAAAAAATTCTATACAAGCATTTCTTAACAAAAATGGACGAGGAGTAACGTTCTAAACAACATACTAAAAGTCCCATGGATTATGTCTCTGGCAAGTTGAAAAAAACGGCCGCCATTTTGTTTTTTACATTTTATTGCAAATATCTCAAAAACTATCAGGTTTGTGAGGAAAAGTGGAAGGATATTTTTTACTTAAAATGCAATTTTACATTTGTTGGGATCTATCAGCAACCATGTATTTAAATAATTACTGACTTTTTCCAGTTTCACAAAAGAATACCTACTGCGTTCACTTAAAAGTAATATCATCTTCTTCATCATTGTCATATACGATGCACGAATTACAGCAAATCATTCCACGTTGACCACATTTTTGCAGAACATTTTAATCCAAGTTTTCTGTCCCTTCCTTGCAATTACAGAATACCATCTTTAGTATATCAGAGGGGGCAATTTCTTTTGTTACGCATGTAGGTGCAAGATATCCATCTCTATCTCGTTCCCATCCGTAGAATAACGGATCTAACTTGATCCCATCCATTCTTCTATTTTAAAAGCTTACCTGATAATAGACTCTAAAAACATGTTGAACAGCAGCATCTTTGGTTGGGGGAAGCGCAGTCAAGTTAAAGTTTGCATCAGACAGACCTTTACGAGATGTTATTCGATTGTATAAAGTAAATCTTAGGGTATCAATTATTTCTTTGCTATTCCTGGGCCTGTACAATTTGGTAATAAATGCACCCCTACTTCTAATAATTGGTTTTTATCTGGATTTTGTTGGTAAAATATTTGAAGACTTTGACATAGGAGAATATCATTTTTAAACATAGTATTTTGCTTTTTTTGAAAATGAACGAAGTGATGTCGCAACCTGATATGGCATGAAGGAATAAATATGTATTGTTTAATATGCCCAGTTCTAATATATTTGTTACTTTATCAGCTTTGGCAGCTTCTCCGGGACGACGCAGAGACATCTTTTCATGCTCTGAGTGATGAATCAACAGAAAAGAACAACAAACAACGGTTGTTCTGCCACAATTAGAAAGTTCTACTGCAGTCCTAACGATTAAATAGTCTGCGTCGCTTTCAGCCTGTATTATTTTAATACCTGTTTGTTTAAACCGAATCTTTGAAAGCTCTATGAGTTGTTAATATTCCGTAAAAATTCTTCTTGTGGCGTAACAATTGAATTTTCCAATTTTACCGATATTTCTATGGTATTTTGTGGTCTGACTTGTTGCAGAGCATCCTTTGTTGAATCGTAACCATCGAAGACCACTACACAGTCCTGACCATAAACATGTTTAGCATTATTAATATATTGATAGCAAATTTGGTGGAACGTAGCGGGCTTTTGCCATAAAACTTTGTTTAGGAGAAAACCGCCATCAACTACTATATATATTGCGTTTTGCTCAGTGGACGAAATGGGTGTAGCCAAAGCATCAAATTCTTTCAAAAGAAGGCTTTTTGTGCCTTTCCTCAAAATACAATCCTTAAAAAGAGATAACGGATACGGAGATAATTCAAAGCTGAAACAGTCCCTTATTTCGTCTGGAGTTTTGTTGAAGCATATAATTCTATTAAATAATTGCATAGGGGAGACATTAACATAATTCTGAATAGTTTTAATATTATTGCTCATTTGTGAAAAATTTTTGATTTGATCCGTTCGCTTGCATTTATTATTTGTGAATACTTTGCTTATATTTTTTGTTAGTACTCTTCTTCCAATTTCATCTGCTAAATCGCAGTTTATATAGGATTTAGCTATTCGTCCAGAGAAAACTGACATGAACTCCTTGCATTTATAAGAGTTGTATTCTTCTAGCCAATCTTGAATTTTTCGCAGATCAGTTTTGTCACGTTGCTGGCGTGAGCGACTTAATTCTATATGCCTGAAGTCACAGACTTACATCCCGAAAAATCTTCCATAGCTGTTGAAACAGGCATACAAACTGACATACCAGCAATCCATCTGGCCAAAGACGAATGAGTAAATCCGCGTCCATGAGTTAGGCCACCAGTTGTTTTGATTGACGCCATCAAATTCTGCTCGATCACCATGTCGCTCTAAGTATCGGACCAAAAGTTGTTGGTTCTTTTTCCAGTGAACATTTCTTCATTAACAAATTTTTCATAGTTTTCAGGACTCATATTATAAAGTTTCTGAATATGTTGTAGATAAAGGTTGGTACTTTTGGCATAATTATTATGACCTGTTGCGTAAAATATTGGGATCATCAATTTTGTTTGTTTATTTGCACCAAAGTTACACCAAGCTGCACCAGGTACAGCAAAAAATCAGTCTGTCTCTATCAGACTAACAAAAATATAGGGACTAAAATACATTTGGAGTAGGAAATGCCATATTGGTGCAAATAAGCAAACAAAGCTATTGGCGGCCATTTTTTTTGCAACTTGCCATTGTCAGAATCTATGGGACTTTTAGTATGTCATCTAGGGCCATATTATTTGTATGTTCCCTGGGTTCCCACTCATAAACATTTGTATATAATTTTTTCAGAAGTTGGACCTAAATTCCGATAACTTGACTACACTAATGAGAGGGCAGACGAGAGAAATAACAAACAGCTCAGGTGCGCACTGGAACACCTATAAACAGCCCTGGGCGCTCTAGAGCAGCTCAAGAGTGCTTGAAGTGCGTCACTGGAAAGCGACTCTGGACAACGACAGGCAAAAATTTAAATCCTGCTCGCACATGTTCACATAGCGGACCTACTAAATCACAGCCGCAAGATTGTTAGAATAACGGTAGGCAAATTACCCGGACATTGCAAACTCAACAAGCACATGGAAAGAATGCAGGTTATGCCAGGAGGCGGAAGAAACTGCCGTGCATGTCTAGTGCATTATGCAGGCTTAGGTTTGCGAGGCTTGGAGAGAAAAAGCTCAATCCGTCAAGCTATATGGAGTGGCCGGTATCATGGCTCTGGAGTCTAATAAAAAAGACTCTAAAAACAGATAGGAGACTCCACCATAAATCTGACAAGGTTGCAGTAGTGGTAGAGGACGCCTCTGCGCGCCATGCGCCATCTACATTCGAACAAATCTAATCTACTATAGCCTGACCAATGTAACAATAACCTTGATCCTAATTGGCCTTAAAAATTCATATTTTTTAGAATTTATTAAATTTAATTTTTTTTTTTCAATGTTCCGTGTTCCGTGTACACTTTTTCACCGAGCAATTAGGGATTGTTCACAATAGCTCCAACACAAATCTCCTCACTTCTTCAATGGACTGTTTTAGTTCTTATTTTGTACCAATAAAATTTCATGCTAAAAGAAAGGTACTTTGTAATGTAATGGATATCTCTTAGTTTTTCAAATTATTTTTATTCCTAAACTCTTCAGTGTTATTTTACATTTTATATAACCATTCTTTTTGCATCAAGGAGTGCGTATATAACTAAACAGGTGCATTAAAAAATTGATCATCGCCATCGAGATAATTAGTAATGATTATCGCCGACTCTTATACTTACATATAAAGATAATGTATTGCACATCCTTTCTACTAGCTCCAAAGTAAAACGTAATTTATTGTTTTAGAACACGGCAATTAGTGTCTCTGACGGACACGCTCTGCGTCTGAACACAGTTAGAGAAAAGGTGGTAAGATATAAATATATCTCGTTGGTAAGGGGCATCGTTAAATATTCATCTTATCCGTAACAAATTGCGTTTTAGTTTATTTTCCTGAAGAATTAGTTTTCGTATGATGATTGTACGATGTCTTTCATCGTTATAGTAAAGTGTATGTAGCCATTGACGGGATTGATTAAAGTATTAGCCGCATCTCATTATACATCTTCGTTTTATTGGTGTTTATATCTTCGTACTCTTGCTTATTTACTAATGTTGTTAGATTTGTATATCAACTATCCGTTAGAAAAATTATATATTGTCCCTAAGTACCTATAATATTACCGTATCTAAATATTCCTTATGCAAAAAATCCTGAGAAATGTTCATCTCCTCTTGGCTTAACGCGATAATTTATTAAAGGGCTTCTCGGAATGACAAAACATACGACGAAAGATTGACTATAATCAAGAAGACCGCTAAGTATACAAATTATCGTGTCTGCATAACTTTTTGCAGTAGCAACAATAACAAGAACTGCAGAGAGACATCAGAGAAAAGGCTGCGCATCGGAAATGAGTGACATACGAGCATCGCTAAACAGCTGAGCAGACAAGATAGCTACGCACGCTATGGCCGATTTACTATAACAAATGACTGTCTCTTGGCGGCCATAAGCGACTGTCTGTAACACGCCGACGACGGTGTAATGTGTTTCTTGTTTTTGGTCCAATTAGTTGAATTAATATTTAAACTTATCGCAGGAGGACGATCTGGTTCGATACGGTTGCTACTGCTGCGACGCGTACCGATTTCACAGACACGCGGTACAGTTTAAATTTGGATGAGTTATCTTGTAGGATTATCAAAAAAATGAAAAAAGCTTTTAAAGCTGCACACGTTCCTAGTATTCTTCTCCTCTGTACGAAGTAGACAAACTGATTTTAGATTTTATTGGAAGTGATAATTTTTTTGCAGTTTGTCCTTTGCTGGATAAAGTAAATGATAACTGTAATATCGAGCTATCCAAATTTCTGAAGAAGTAGGTAATATGAAACAGAAACCTACTTTCAACAATTTTGTCTTTGGTCACAGTCTATATCCATTTGTACTTTTGCGTAGTTTGATGAAATAGCAACATTATGTTAATGAGATATTTTCCTCCTAGAATTTGGAACATATGTGGTGAGACAAGGGTGCAAAACATTTTATCTTGCAATTATACAATTTACGACCTTTCGACGCATTGCAGGTTAAATCTGTAAGTTAAAACTTTATCAAAAAAACAAACAAAATTGTGTGCTTATACCTACCTAAGCTTAGAAATAATTTATTCTGTTTAAGACATCATAAATTATAAATTTTCCGTTGCAGAAAACTACTAAAATTATTTAGGATAAAAGGCCGGAGAAACTAATTGAACTGTTGACAAGTATAATATGTTGGCACCAACTATAAAGCTGGTATGTTTTCTGGAACAAAAAGGAAGTAGTTAGGAGTTTTTAAAACTCAAATGAAACCGTCGTCCGCTTAATATTTTCTCATCAGTCACTGGGTCAAAGCAAAGCGAAAGTATGGCCAAAATTTGGTTCTAATAACCATTGGCAAAATAATAATATCTGGCAGTCAAGCAAGGTTTCTAGCTAACGCCTAATGCAGGATCGTTCATTATAATATAAAACAAAATAATAAGTACCTACTTTTACATCTTGCACACACACTCACACACAACCGGCCTTATTCATTTAAACGTCTCATTATACCAGGACATTTGTGCTAATAATATACGAGACTTGTCTTGCCATATAAACGAGGACTTGAAATCGCACTTTCCAACCATCATTATTATTATTATTTCTTTTAATAGGGACGTGGGTGAGCGACTGTGCAATACTTATGAAATTGATTAGCAGTAATTAATGGCTTTGTATATAGAGGTTCAGAAATTATATTAGGTATATATTTTTTGCACTAAAAGTGTATTTTATTTACAAGAAAAATATATGCCTACCTACACACTATAGGTAAAATCACAGAATGAATGTAGTAAAAAATATGCAATGGAAAAATATTCCCCCACTAACCCACTCGTGAGACTTTGGTTATTGCCTCCTGGGCAAAAAAAAATTAAAGAATTCCCAAAATTACAAGTTGTGAGTTGTGGAACATTGTGTTAATTGTGTAACCAATCTTTCTCAAACCAAGCTGCGATGTTATATGATAGAAAGTCCCAACTTTTGGAGATTTTTCACAAAAGCTTCATGATGTGAGCAGCAAAAATATGTAGAACATTGAATTGGACATCCGGCAATGAAGTTGGAAACTCAATTTCGAACATTTTTGCAAAAGCAGAAAAGCGCCTCATTACCCTAATTAAGAACTCAAAATTAAATTTTTGTTCAAAAAGGCTGCTTTCGGAAATGTAAATCCTGGATCGAGTAGGTTAATATCAGCTGATCACGGTTCACCTCGTTTTCAGAGTAGATTATTCAACGTTTTCGAACGATAGGGATCGACGATCGTCGGCACCCGCGTTTATTTTTTTTTCAACGATTTGAGCCTTGAGGTTAGGTCTTTACCTTTGACTTTTCAAAGACACTGCAAACCACCCCAAACACAACAAATTGAACCAACCACAAGAATTCAAACACAAAACTTGACAAAAACGGAAACAAAACATATAAATAAACATAAAACATAACCAAAAAAATCAAACAGCTGATAGATTAATTTTCTACCCACGTCAAGAGCAGGATTGACGAGATCACAAACATGAGAAAATCGAGTTAACAAGATCAGGGCCGGTATTCTCGTTCTCGAAAACGCTCACCGCTTTTCAGTCGCTCGGCACTTTCAATGTAAATTTGCATTTAAAGTGCCGAGCGACTAGAAAGCGGTGAGCGTTTTTGAGAACCAGAATACCGGCCCAGATCACTTACCGAAGGCGAGTACTCGACTTCGGCTCATCTTACGAACGATGAGATTACTAATCCGATCAAACCAATTAATCGGATCACACTTTCCGAAAGCGGCTAA